TTAGTAACTCTCAGATTTGCAATTCTGAACACATTTATTAAGGCCACTGGAACAGTAAATAAGCATGGACAGAATTGCATTGTGTGTATGTACACACATACACAATCTGTTCCTCAATCTCCAACCTTGCCAAATTGAACAGCAAAAACAGAGGTTCTATTTACTATAACTGGAGTACTAACCAATGTTTCTTCAAAAATTTCACTCAGTTTTATATAGTAAATCTTTTTTCTATCTTTTTATTTTTCTTATTTGTTTTTTCCTTCATTCTGCTTTTAAGTATCTATTAAATTTTAAAAAATAAAAAGAGGAGGAGGAGGAGGATAGAAAAATCCTGTTTACAATTACCTAGAAGTGAGCCTCATGAATATGAATTAGTCTAAATAAATATACAAAGTTTAATATTACATTCTTTTGCTTCTATTTTATTGCCCATAATAAGGCAAGTTTGTAATAGCATTCATTCTAATTACATCTGATATATAAACTTATACTGTATAGCTTATAACTAGATTAAAATTGTTTTAAAAAACAACTGAATAAAATATTTCAATTTTATTTCAATCTCCTGCTCACCCTGTTGGTCAGGGAGCTACTGAAAGGAAGTTATTAAAATTTGCTAATTCCCAATAGCTAGATGAATCTAATATCATGCAAGGTCTGCTTGTAAAACATTTGATCTGAGAGTAATTTTGCAGGAAAGAACAGAGCTTAGACTTAATCTTGTTCTTCTACTTCAAATGAATCTCTGAAAATGTCGAGCAAAATGGTCAAGTACTCACTGGTAAATCCAAGTTTGTTCCTACTGTTAATTTAGAGAAAACCGTGGGACCTACATAAAAGAGTATTTCATTTCATTTTTAATGTACGAGAAGAACGCATCTCCAAAATTCACTGTATATATTCTACAAAATATAGAATTTCAACGTGTTCTATATAGAATTTCAAATCTGTTCTGTCTCCCTCGTTGGAATTGTACAGAAAACATGGTAAAAATTGCAGCCATTTGAATCTTCCCTCCTTATTGCCATGAAGACAACAAAAGACATCCATCCCATGCAAAAAAATACATAGTGAAATCCAGTGCTTTTCCATATATATACATTGCACAAGCCTTTTGCATAATTCAAAGGCAATCCTCTTCAGCTGTAACTGAGATGATCATTACTTAGCACATTTATTCACATTTGTCAGTATTTTAAGAATGGTGCGGTCTTACCATGTGGGTTTAAACATTTAATCATGGAATTTAAACCATGGATAAATATGGAGGTTCTTTGATGGTTTGCCAATCACAGTAGCATTGTGTAGGCAATGTGCATCCAATGGCTAATTCCTA